CCCCTGGGGTCCCCGCTTGGGCTCTGCCTCCCGCGGGCGAGAGGGGGCCCGGCGGTGCGGGCCGGGGAGGATGCGGTGAAACGGGCGGGGGGGAGGTTTGTGTGCCCGGCTCGGCCTCTGTGTGTGTCTGTGTGTGTGTCTGTGTGTGTGTGTCTGTGTCTGTGTGTGTGTGTGTGTGTCTGTGTGTGTGTGTCTGTGTCTGTGTGTGTGTGTGTGTGTCTGTGTCTGTGTGTGTGCCTGTGTGTGTGTGTGTCTGTGCGTGTGTCTGTGTGCCTGTGTGTCTGTGTGTCTGTCTGTGTGTCTGTGTGTCTGTGTGTGTGTCTGTCTGTGTGTCTGTGTGTCTGTCTGTGTGTCTGTGTGCGTGTGCGGACCACGTTACCGAAGCGGTGTCACAGTCCCATTTACCGTTAAATAACGAGTCGGTATGTTTGAGTTGCCTGCTAACAGCGCCTCGTTCCCTTTTCTGTGACACGGTGGCGATACCTTCTTTCACACTTTTGTAACTCTTTTGTGCTGAGACGTCAGCTGATACTCTGTTTTATTTTAGGGAGAGGATGTAATGGTTTTGAAAGTCTATAATGCTGGGTGTTTTTTAAATCTTATATACGCTGTGTCCTGCCAGAATCTTGCAGTTGGTTAAGTGGGGGGGAAAAGAAGGTATAATTATTTGTCTTATTGCTGTGCTGCTTCCCACGCAGGTAGTTAAATAAATTGGATATAGAGATTCTTTTCAGATCACTTTTAGCAGGCAGGGAGAGTTTGGGTTTTTTCTCTGTCAGTGTCGGTCTGTCTCCCTTTTTATCTCCGAGTTCTTCTTTGGATGCGTCATGTTAACTACCGACTCACTGACGTACCGTCCTCAGTTATTAAAATGTGACGTACAGTTGTACCTTTTTATGAGAAGGAAACGTTCAGTGCGTTTGGAAGCTGTTTGGACGTTTCTGGTGATCGTGTGCTGCTTCTCGGGTAGGCATGTCCTGGAAATTCAAGTGACAGCAGTATTTTTTCTCTGGCAGGTTTGTGGGAACCTTATGGTAATAAATAAAATACCAAGAGGAAAATGACGTTGAGGAAAGGTACGTGTGTTTCTTAAGTTTTTTAGAAACATCTTTTGTACTTTTCTGAGTTTCCCAGTCTTTCTCTGGTTATACTGATAAACTTTTTTCTCCTAAATTTTTAGTGAACATTTCCATCCTTATTGTGGCTGTTGTCATATTTTTACTAGTTCTTCATCACAACTTCCTAGGCCTCAGTGACTTGTTGAGACGGGAATTGTCAGGTATGTTGGACTTTATTTTAATTTGAAAATTTTTAATATCTTTTTTTTGAAAGTGGTGGGAAAGCACGTGCCTGGCCTGACAGAAACCACCGCATTGTTGAAATAATATTTATGACAATGATCAATTATTTGCATAATGAGATACATTTTTTTGTACTCTTTTATGAGTAGATCTTTTATTGTTCTCATGGTAATAATGTTTGCGTTTTGTTTGCATAAAACAAGTGTGTGACGCCGTTTGTACTCCACAGATTCAAATCCATTAGGACTTCAGCCTATAGATTTCATACCTGCAGTTCCCCAGAGGCTGGCAGCTGAAAGGAGTGATAAGGAGATTTCTGTGGTCATTACAGCATCAGATGAGAGGCTTGGGGGTGCAATAGCAGCCATGAACAGTATTTCCCGTCACACCAGATCCAACGTGGTTTTCTATATTGTTACACTAAACAATACTGTGGATCACCTGAGGTAATGATCTTCTCATCAGATTCCCACAGTACCGTAAAACTTCAGTATCTCTGAGAAGAGGAGGAGCTGTCTGTCCCTAGAACTGCCCTCCTCTAGTAGCAGAGCTGTCTGCTGCTGCTTATTGCAGCTTTCCAACAAGCTGCTGTGGGGAGTCCTACGGTCGTTCCTTCTGGCAGTATTTCAGGGATGGAAAAGAGCCATCTTTTGCCGTGGGGGGTTGGAATTCATTGATGGAGGGGTTGCGAAAGTTACTTCCTATATTTCATCTACACAATTGGAACGCTGGCAACGAAGCTTCTCCGTTTTCCTAAACTGTTTGTTGATCCTTTTATTGTTACCCGCATCTGATCACACTAGTATTTTTTGTGAAGGATCTCTGATAGCAGGACCATGTATTTCTAATTAACTAAGCAGCAACGTCCTACCTTTGACGTGTCACTGCTGTGCAGTGTGCTGAGAGTGGGCACGGGCCTGGAGTCGCACAGGGCACCACCCCGGTCAGCCGTAGGTTACATTCTACATGTGTGTGTGTTGGGAAGGGAAGGGAGTGGCCAGGTCAAGATCTGTGTCACGGCCCATCAGATCTCTTGCTTTTCATTTGATTTTGTCTCATTGCCTTTCTCTTGTTTGCAGGCTGTGGCTACGTAACACTGCTCTGAAAAATTTGAGATACCGCATTTTGGATTTTGACCCTCGTGTCTTAGAAGGGAAGGTACAAGTGGATCCTCAAAAGGCGGACTCCTTAAAACCAGTGAGGATTATGTTGATTACTTCTTGCAATTATTAGTTAGTAATGATAAACTCTGGCTTTTGAATCCAACCAGACATCAAAACCAAATCCGTTAGCACAGAAACAATCTTTAATAATTCAATTCCTAAACTTCAGTAAGGATAAATTTCCAGATGGTGAGAGATGGATTTGAATATCTACATATGCGTGCCTTGTATCATTTTTTGCTGCTGGGTATAGTGAAACACAGCAGCTTGAATGTCAAGCATGGCAGTGCTTTAGAGATAGTGCAGATATGTGTGGAGAAGTAAGAAATTCTCATATAAACAAGTTTTAAAGGTAGTTTATCAATGCACAGATTCATAGGAGAACAGGAATTAATGGAACCCGTGTATTTGAAATAACTTCTAGGATATTGCTGCTCATTTTACTTCCTTGATAGATGTGTCTTGGGACATGGACAAGTGCCAGGAGCATCAGTCAAATTCACATGTATTTGGACTTTTTTTGGTTTACTTCTTCACTTCTCTTGCTTTTTTTGTTTTCACAGTTAACCTTTGCAAGATTCTACTTGCCCAGTTTGGTACCTCATGCAGAGAAGGCCATCTATGTGGATGATGATATAATAGTGCAAGGTATGGGGCCTATTCCTACCCTTCTGCCCCTGGCCTTCTGGCTGAGGTCAGTGTCCCATCTCTTACAGTAACCAGACATGTCTACTTCAAGGAAAGATATAAAAGCTCTGTAAATATGAATGAGTCGGATTAAACTGAGTGGTTTTAGCTGCTGTAGCAATGGACTGGTTAAAAAGATACTCAACACTTAATCAGGAATGCTTTTAATTTTTTGTGCTTACTTCCATTTTCCAGATGATATCCTTGAACTTTACAACACTCCATTGAAACCTGGACATGCAGCTGCATTTTCAGATGATTGTGACTCAACCACTAATAAAGTTGCTGTCCGTGGAGCAGGCAATCAAGTTAGTTTCATTCTGATTCAGTGGTAATGATACTAAAGATCTCAGGCTTTGGGAACAGGCACTTGGTTTTAATGTTATGGCAGGTTAACTTCCCGATGCAGTGAACCTAAGGGTGTAACTGCCCCTACCCAAATCCATTTACTCTGATGTTCTGTGTTACAAATGATGCCTGCACTTTCTCGTTAGGCACAGTCAAAGGACTTTGCGTTTTTGCTGTGCAAATTGCGATGAGAGCAATTCCCGGTGTGGAATAGCAGGAGGTCTTAGAACATCAGAGGGAGAATTTTTCATTTATGAGGGAATAAAAAGTACCGCTCGCTGTGGGAGCAGTACCATATTATTATATGGTATTGCTAAGACCATGTAGCATTCCTTAAATATGTAGTTTATATAATCATATTTTTAAAATCTTAGACCTCTTAAGCTTGCTTTCTCTTTTTTTAAAGGAAGGGGCACTTCTTCTAAGAATTTCAAGTTATGCTTGGGAATTGTGCAGAATTTTTCTTTAAAAAGCAATTTGACTATATTTTAAGCTCGTTTCTATTCTCTCTTTTCCCCAGTATAACTACATTGGATTTCTAGATTACAAGAAAGAAACCATCCGGAAGCTTGCCATGAAAGCCAGCACCTGCTCTTTCAATCCAGGAGTTTTTGTTGCCAATTTGACGGAATGGAAACTGCAGAACATCACTAAGCAGTTGGAGAAGTGGATGGCACTTGATGTAGCGTAAGTACCCCCAAGCTGGGGGCGACTGCGGGCCGGGGTTTGGGTTATGGTGATGGCATTTAACTGTTAAATGGAGGGCAGCTTATGTATCTGTGGATTCTGTGCAAGTGAAAAATTGGCTGATTTATGGCCACACAAGCATCCTTTCCCAGCTTCTTCTCCTCTTCTCTTCCAGAGAGGAACTTTACAGTAGGACTCTGGCTGGCAGCATCACGACACCTCCACTGCTCATTGTATTTTACAAGCAACATTCTAGTATTGATCCCATGTGGAACGTTCGGCATCTTGGTATGTATGAAAAATTTCTTACACTGTTCCCCCAGGTGTTCTTCCAGGTCTGTAGGGGGACAACTAGTTGATGATACAGCCAAGAGATCTTTTCTTCCTTTATTTTATACATTGTTCTTTAAGAAACACTGCTTTGCAATACCATCTGGGAGCTTGTGGCCCTGATCCTTCACGTCCTTTCTTGATCTGCTGTAGGAGTAGTTCCTGAAATCACTTACTCCGAAAATACTTCTCATTTGCCTTTTCTTGTTCCATGTATTTACTGCATCTGAAGTGATCCCGGCTGTTTCTTTGAAGGCTGTTGAGAGGAACAGACGTTCCTATCTGTTCTGCTACTGGCTGGGAGAGCTTTCATAGGTTTTCTTTCCAATGAAAAATACCCAGGCTGCTGAATACGTCTGGGTATTAAGGGGGTTTTAAAGAACTTGGAAGTTAAGGCAGTACGTTAAAATGGATAGGGACAGATCAAAGTGGCATTTGTTTCATGATTATGCTTTTTACTTTGCCCCAGTTTCTACCTCTTGTGTCACCTCCTTTCTCTAGAAGTGTCAAGATTTCCTTTGTTGAAAACATTTGTTTTGAAGTTAAACTATTGCATGCTGGTGTTTTCTGCTGCCTTTATTTCAGGCACTAACACTGCTTTTTCAATGAAAGGGTCTAGTGCTGGAAAAAGGTACTCTCCTCAGTTTGTGAAAGCTGCCAAGCTACTCCATTGGAATGGACATTTCAAACCCTGGGGCAGAACAGCTTCATATGCTGAAGTCTGGGAGAAGTGGTATGTTCCTGACCCCACAGGCAAGTTCAGCCTGATCCGCAGACATTTGGAAGCTTATGAAGCCAAGTAGAATCAATTTTCATAACCGATGGCGTTGTCTCAGGAAACTTGTGGAGCCGAGCAGAACTTTCCTGTAGCCAGCTTGTATTACAGAGCAGTTCTTGCCTTCTGGAGCCCAAGGTGATGGACTTGCTCGGTGCAGTTCTGAAGTGCCCACACGCAGAGGAGACACTTCACTTGTGCAACACGAGGTGCTACTGCAACACTACAGAAAGCACGGGAGGGTATCTCCACAAACTAGCACTTTGGTTAGGTCATTTCTGTCATGCATTCTTCTGCTCTTTACTACAAGTCTTCTAGAGGAGGATCATTTTTTCAGTCACAGAAACAGTTGCTAAGAACAAGATACAACTTCAGCTGGTGCTTGCACCATGCAAATCTTGCACAGCGATGTACTGTAATTTAAGAGCTGCTTGGGTTTTGTTTTGGGGTTTTTTTTGTTTTCTTATCCTGTGAAATTAGTTCCTCAACAACCCTTTCTTGCATGAAATCTCCCTCCAGCCATTTCTAAGTCTTGTGCAATTCTGCAAAATTTGTTTTCTTGAAAGATGTTTTTTCAAGTATTATTTCACTATGCAAAGTGGATTTAATTGCCAGTGAACACTTAAGACTTTTTTTTGGTAAAGTGTTGGGGAAAAAAATTGTTCAAAAATAAAAGTGAATTTTAACGTAAGAACTCAAACCTCAGGTAAATGGCAATCTGATTCTCGTCTTGATTTATGAAGTGTTTCCTTTGTATATAAATACAGTAGCAAGTGATTGAAACTAAAAAAATTATCTATCTTTGTGAAAGCAGTCTCATTCTAATTATACAAAATGTTTCTTTTGGGGATCAGGCTGGATGAATTAGGTTAATTTTATTATTGTCAAGTTCCTCATAGTTCTCTCAAGCGAACATGTCTCTGCTGTGGTTTTTCCCACTGTGCCTTTCCCCATCTGACCCTTTAAACTCACAAAGTGAGAGATTCCTGTGCCCTTTTGCAGCCAGCTGCTCATCACCATTTCTACAGGTAAGTTGGTTTTTTGATTTTTATAGTTGTAATGTTGAGTAGTGATTATTATTACCTCATGCACCCCAGCAGATATTATGCCAGGTATTCCATTTAACAGATTTGAACTCTAGCTGTCGTTTTCTTCAGTAATACGCCTTGTATTATAGTTCTCAGACAAGCAGCTTTGTTAATGCAGTGATGGGCTGAGCGTTGTGTGGTCTGAGATTCAGGGCAGCCGAGAGCTAAAGGATTCATTTGCATGTAGGAACATGGTTTTAGTGCTGCTTTATGAAAAAGATTTGCAACTGCTTGACTCATCACAGTCCCTGCCTATAGTTCTGACACCAACTGAATTCTGATGACCAGGCTGTGTTTTAGCAGGCTTAAATAAGCTGCGTGTGTCTGTGTCTGCATTTGATACTTTTTTTTTTTAAGCTGCCTAGGAGGGTTGTGCCTCAATGTACATTTAGGGAAAAACAACTGTTAAAGAACACAAGACAGAAGTAGGAGGAAAACAGATGCAAAGAAGAAAGATGCTCGGTGTCAGGTGTTTATTCTAAATGCTTAATTCATTGAGCAGCTTTGCAATTCTGTTGCTACCCCAGGTCTGCTGTAGGCTGAGCGCAGTAGCATGTCCTTATTGCTCAGGGCACAACAGGTGCGATCAGACAGTCTGTTGTTCGAGAGCACTGCAAGAACAAGCAGCTTGTTCTCCAGTGAAGGCACATTACTAATAGCATAATCATAGAATGTCCTAGGTTGGAAGGGACCTTAGAGATCATCTAATCCAACCTCCCCGGGATGCCCTTAACTAGACCAGGTTGCTCCAGGCCTCAGTCTCATTTACCTTTCCCAGTGAAGGTTTTGAACATATAACGCAGCGCTCAGATAAAATACCTTATGTCTAGCTGAAGGAAGTACCATTTTCTAGCCAACCTTTATTTAGGAAAGTTCTACACGTTTTACAAAAGTATACTGAAAAGTTAGTGCCTTAAATCCTGCTTTAGGGGTACAGTCTCTGTAATCATCTATGAAAAACATATTTTATAAAGGGAGAGAGGATGAAAACTTACCTTGAAATTTATGTGCTTGAACATGACTAGAATGAAACATTTACCACTGTTTTTTTCAAAGGAAAAGACAAAGGGTTTATCCATATAAGGCTAAGTGAACAGACTAACTCAGTCTGTTAGGAATTTTTTAAAATAGGCTTTAATACAGGAAATAACAGTTAGGACTTAAAGCTGAATACAGTCAGTTTCCTAGACTTGTACGAAATCTGGTGCAATCAAGGGAGATACATTATTATATACATTATTTGACACAGCAATAATTGTGAATCTTTGCAGTAGCTCTGGTATGCAGCATTCCTCCAACTTCTGCCACAACACGAGTCTTCATGAAAGCCAGTAACAGAGTCTCCAAGTGGTGTCTTCACACATAATCTGTATTAAAATCGTAGGCATCGTCTTCCTCTGCTGTCTTATCCAAACTGACTGTTAGTGAATTGGAATGTTCATTTTCTGAGGAAAGAAAATTTTGTGTTAGTGCAGCCAGTGCAAGTGCTAAGAGTACTCAAGACTCTCCTTCAAGCCATGGTTTTTGATACAGACCTGCTATCTGCTTTTCTGAATTTGTAGGACTTTGTTGTTGTCCAAGCTCTGCTTGCCTGGTGACCTGAACTTTGCTTTCCTACAAGTCAGAGAGATCAGACACACGTGTTTATTCAGCCATCACTAATGAAGTCTCCTATTTAAATGAAACCTAACAGACTGATGATAGCGTGGATGTCCCTTTGTATAGCTGATCAGGAACACGCTGCCTTAGAACAATGTTGTTTCCTGCATTTAGCAAAAAGTCCAACCCTTACCTCCAGGAGAAAGGATTTTTGCTTACTCTTGGTGGCTCTACAGTGCCCACACATCCTGTTTACAGGAGGATATTGAGTGGGTACTTGGTGTCAGTATCTTAACAGATGGTAGAAGCCTTATGAAACTCTGACTTACCTCTTTGTCATTCTTTTCTTCTTCCATATTGTCTTGATCATCATCACTTTCACTGAAATCCTCCTCCTCTTCTTCTCCCTCCTTGCTTATTTCCGGGTCTTCCCACTCTGTTGCTTCCTCCTCCCCTTTATTTTCCTCTATTGTCCCATTTGCCATACCAGCTGACTGGAAAATTATGCTGCTTGCTGGGCTGCGGTATTTTAAAGCTGTGAAAAACATAGGAAATGTTTGCTGAGTCACCGTTAAGAGCACCAGATGTAAAGCCAGGCCCCTGAGCAGACACTCATTTTAGGTCAGGGCTATAGGAGAGCCACAACCTTCCCTTCCACAAGACAGCACTCCCACATAAGCAGGTACAACAAAGGACACTTCTGTGAGAAAAGCTCTCCCTGAGGCATCTACAGAAGACTGCTAGGAGCTAAAAGACTTGGATTTGAGTAGAGACTGTAATGAGTAAAATTTATTGGGTTGGCCTAATTAGCCCATGTTCATACGCTCTTCAACAGTCTTTCCCCCTATATAGGACGATTAGGTCCGACGAGCAGAAACTAAGAAAGAGCAGGGGTATTTTGTGTTAAGACAGCACACAGAGGCACTATTCTGTTGCCTCAGAATCCGCTGCTTTCTTAAAAGTTTCATGTTCACTGCATATTGGTGAAGGTATCACATAAACCCCAGGAGAATTTCCATTCAAAATCTCTGATTAAAACTACTACTAACACTCTTAACGGTAGCAGTGCATCACAGTAACACTCCTACCTTGAACAGTGTCGTTGTTTTCTTCTTCTAGACTCCTTAAATTAAAGCCCGCCTGCATTTCAGCTATTTTGTCTTCTGTAAGATAGGGTGGTGGTCTCTGAGATTCTGGAGGTTGTGAGTGGTAGCTTACTTTAGCTCTGGGAAGGTAAAATAACAGCATTAAGAAACAACCAAAGATAACATAGTTAAATCACTGTATTTAAAAATAAACTCCAGAGCACAAACCTCTCAAACTCTTTTAACCTAACTACTCATTTATTACTATCTAACAGCTGTTAAATAGTTACTTAAATTTGTCTCTGGAGTTGTCAGTAACAGTAGTAAGTGGATAGCCCACTCCTGAGAGGAAAAAAAAAAGCCATCCTTTGTCACCACAAATCATTTGCCTGTAAAATCATGAGCTGTAAAAGCAGCTGAACCACTTGAGCAAGGGAAATAGTCCCACTCAATTACCCATCCTGAGTTACATTTATTCCCACACTCAGAATATAGGAACCACTACTAATTTCCACAGGAAAACTGCCATAATCTTTCCTGTCTATAGGATTACACTGACTCAGTATTTGAGAGAAAGAAAAATTCCCCTAAGAGAGTTATAGCAGAAGTCAGCAAAGAGGCTATGGGAGTAACATGCAATATGCTTTGACTCTTTCCATGTATCCTTCCCTACTTTAGGAGGGTGTTCTTTAAATCTGTTAACCAATCCAGCTCTCTTTATAGAAGTAAAATGTGAGTGAAGGGTGGGGGGGAAAGGCAAAAAAAAAAAAAAGCAGCCTCTCCTTTCTAATATTTTGCAGGACTCAGAGCTTCTGTGGTGCAGGATTAAGTGTGAAAAAGGTAAGCAGCATAAAACAAAATTCATAGCATACGTACCCTGTCCAGTCACAAAGGAGTACTTTAGCCATATTCTCTATATCAGGAATGACTACCTTTTT